AATTCAAAGTGGCATTCAGTCTGTGCCATGTGGTAGAGGAAACTGAGGCCAGGACAGAAGGCCTGTATTTGCAGAGTGTTAAGGAGGGGAAGGCTTTCCCTTCCAATGTGCTGGAGCATGGCAAGAAAGTGGGGCTTGACTAAGTACAGCAGGCCATACTGTACTGATGTAGGCTTCCCCTCCAGGCTGCAGTCTCAGAATGGGAAGGGGGTGGTACTGGAGGGGGTTGGAGTAAAGCCATCCAAATAGGTATGGTACTGGAGAAGCTGAAGAGACTGAAATTGGCAGTCCACTTTCTCTTTAAGAAAGAAGGAAAGGAGGGGCGCCTGGGGGCCCAGTCAGTTAAGCATCCAATTCTTGATTTAGGCTACGGTCATGATCTAAGGGTTGTGAGATGGAGCCCCTCATCATTGTTCAGCTCCTCGATGGGGCATGGAGCCTGCTTAAGATTCTCCCTCTCCCTCTGCCCCTCCTAGGATTTGCATTTGGCTCTGTACCACCTTGAACAGAAGCAATAGCGTTCAACAGTAGAGGGGGCTGCCCTGAACGGAGACTGTATTTTCCAACCTTCCTTCCAGTTAAAGGTGGGCATGAGGCTGAGCTGTGGCCAATGGAATAAGTGGTGCCTCCTTAGAGTTTCCTTAAACAGAAGTACTCTCCTTCTCCCTCTCTTACCTCTTTGCTGGTAGCAAGAGTATGGAAATGATGGCTGGAGCTACAACATGCATCTTGAACCATAAGGTGAGCTTGGGAATGGGGGCTTCGCACAGTGGAGGAAAACAGAAGCCTGGGTCTCTTGTACTGTGCACCATATCAGTCCTGCCTTGACCCACCTCCAGACTTTCACCTGAAAGAGAAATACATCTCTATCTCAAGTGAATTACTGTTTTGTTTCAAGTTTTGTCACTTACAAATGCAATAATTTCTAAATAATAATCCACTTCACTGCAAGTCCCCGTCCCTATCCTAGTTAGAGTTAACAATACTTTTGCCTGGACTTTTTATTTTATTTTATTTTATTTATTTATTTTAAAGATTTTATTTATTTATTAGACACAGAGAGAGATCACAAGGAGGCAGAAAGGCAGGCAGAGAGAGGGAGCAGGAAGCAGGTTCCCCACTGAGCAGAGAGCCCGATGTGGGGCTTGATCCCAGGATCCTGAGATCATGACCTGAGCCAAAATTGCCTGGACTTTTTAAAGAATCTGTTAATTGATATCCCCATATTCAATTATATCCATCCTAACCTCCTTCCAATAAGTTTTCTACACAATATCCAAAATGACTGAAAATGCAAACAGAATGTCACTCCCTGTATTAGTCTGCCTGGCTACCATAACTGGACACCACAGACCGAGTGGCTAAAACAAAAGAATTTCATTTTCTCACAGTCCTTGAGGTGAGAAGTCAAAGATCAAGGTGCCAGCAGGTTTTCTGGAGAGAACACTCTCTTTGGTTTGCAAACAGCTGCCTTCTCACTGTGTCCCACATGGACTTTTCTCTGTATACACTTGCACACAGAGAGCAATCTCTGGTTTCTCTCTCTCTCTCTCTCTCTCTTTTTTTTTTTTTTTAATAAGGGTACTAGTCCTATTGAATTAGCATCCTACCCTTATGATCCCACTTAACTTTAATTACTTCCTTAAAGGCTCCATCTACAAATACAGTTACACTGGGGTCTAGAACTTCAGAATATGAATTTTAGGGGGATATAATTCAGTCCGTAACATGCCCCTTCTTCAATCATGTCAGTAGATTTTCATTGCTCTAAGGGTACAGTTGAGTAGTTAAAATAGGAAGACTCACATATGGTCTGGGCCCTACTTATCTCTCCTTTTCATACCCCACATGCTCCTCCTCACTCCATGCTTTAGTCACATCGGCTTTTCATTTTCTCAGGTGTGCTATGATTTCTCCCACCTTAGGACCTTTGCACATGCTAGAGCTCTGTCCTAAATTCTTTCTCCCCTCCTGTTCCTTTCCTCCCCTCTTGTTCCTCTCTCCATCAGCTCTCAGCTCAATCATCTGTTTTTCAGGGAAGGTTTTCCAAATTTTCCTTATGTTTCACTATTCTCCCATTATATGCCTTCATAGCTCATGTATCTCTTTTTAATAGCACTTATTATAATTGTGCCTTTATATTTTGTTCAAGGTTCTTTGATTTTTTAAAAATTATTATTTATTTATTTGACAGACAGAGATCACAAGTAGGCAGAGAGGCAGACAGAGAGAGAGAGGAGGAGGAAGCAGGCTCCCCGCTGAGCAGAGAGCCCAATGTGGGGCTCAATCCCAGGACCCCAGGGATCACAACCTGAGCCGAAGGCAGAGGCTTTAACCCACTGAGCCTCCGAGTCGCCCCCAAGGTTCTATGATTAATGTTTGTCTTTTCCATTAGATGATAAACTCCATTAGAATAGAGATATGTCATTTTGGCTTATTATTGTATCCTAATACCTTCTACAGTGTCTGGCACATACCTGACACTCAATAAACATTTTGTGAGTGAGTAAGTAAGAGGTAAGTGGGTGGTATGTCAAACAAGGAACTCAATACTTCATCTTCAAGGATATATAGCATGGAAATCAAGGATTTGAGATGGTGGAATAAAATAATGTTTTAAAATGAAGATACATGTTAAAAAAATTTTTTGCCAGCACTGTGTATTGTGTATTATATGTTAGAAAGAATCAATGTTGGAAGTAAAGTGACAAGTTTGAATAGTTGTAGCAGATATCCAAATGGATATCCAAATAGATACCCAGATATCCAAAGCAGATATCCAAATTTGTGTTAGTTCCTGTTCCTTTTGAGAATTCTTCAGTGTAAATCAAGTTGAGTCGGTTTTAAGTTGAGTCTGGTTAGTGAATAATCCTTGTTCAGCTGTTTTCTATCTTCCAGTATGTGCTGCTGTTATTTTATTTCCTGTTCTTGTTTTTGTTGATTTATTTTTTACATCCCTTTACTGTAGTTTTAGTAGAGTTTGGGGAGAGAGCAAAATTATAGGCATATGTTTAATATGCCACTTTAACTTGGAATTCCCTGTTTTCATTATGAAAACTCTTTATCGATAGTTTATTGCAATAAAATTGCCTTTCCCACTGGCCAAGTTTTTAAAGTGACAATATCAAATGATCGCAAAACTGAGGATGAAAGTGTGGAAGCATACATCAGCACAATATTTCTGGGGAGTATTGCTTCCCTAAAGGTTTAAAATGTACAAACTTTTTGAACTAAAAGTTCCACCTCTAGGAATTCACCTAAGGAAATGATTTAGCTTTAAGAATGTTCATTGCAGGGGTGCCTGGGTGGCTCAGTGGGTTGGGCATCTTCCTTCCACTCAGGTCATGATCTCTGAGTCCTGAGATCAGCCCCCTGTCTGGCTCCCTGCTCAGCGGGGAGCCTGCTTCTCCCTCTCCCTTTGCCTCTTCCCCTGCTTGTGCTCTCTCTCTCTCTAATAAATAAGTAAAATCTTTTTAAAAAAATGTTCATTGCAGTGTTGTTTATGATAAAAAAATTGTCCAGTGATAAACTATATACTATCATATATGTAGTTGTTAAAAATTATGTTGTTGGGGGCGCCTGGGTGGCTCAGTGGGTTAAAGCCTCTGCCTTTGGCTCGGGTCATGATCCCAGGGTCCTGGAATCAAGCCCCATATGGGGCTCTCTGCTCGGTGGGGAGCCTGCTTCCTCCTCTCTCTGCCTGCCTCTCTGTCTACTTGTGATCTCTGTCTGTCAAATAAATAAAATCTTAAAAAAAAAGTATGTTGTTGAACCAAGTTGTTACACAGCGTCACTCCCTATATATACTACTACTACATACATATACAACAACATATACACTACTCCATACAATACAGGATCATTTGCCAAAAGACCTGTGAAGCCATACAACAAATTTATCTCATCTTTCTCCAACATTGATTTTACTAGTGATTTGGGAGTGTGGAGGGGGTACTACTTATCTACCCCATGGTCCTCTGTCCCTTTCTTCCTTGATAACAAAACCCTAATTTGTAGCAAGGGGTGTTGCTGCTCAGAATAAAAGACTACGTTCCCCTGTCTCTGTGGTAACTGGGTGTGGCCAAGAGCTAAACGCAAACCGCTGAGCTCTCAGGGGAGGTGTGAGAGACTTCCCGGGAGGCTACCTTGATGGAGCTGGCTGAACCGAGAGGAGGAGAAGGAATAAGCATTTCGCTCCTTTATTTAAAGGCTTCTTCTAGCTAAAAAATACATACATACATACATACATACATACATACATATTTTAAATTATTGTTAAAGTAAAAATGAATAGAAAAAATTCAAATATCTAATTCTAATTTGAGGGTGGGGGGGGGGAGGAGAAAAGGAAGGGGAGTGGGCGGACAGTTGGTGTACTTCTATGAGAATCCCGATACGCAACGCTAGTTTTCGTCTATCACTAAATCCAACTTGAGAAGGCCGACAAGGCTCGTATAAACTGTTTGTGAGACTCCTTCTGGTCTTTCCTAGTCTCTAATAGTAACTTTTCTAGATCAAACAAGAGCAGGTGCGGGACTACTTCGCTTTGTAGAACCCAAGATGCCGGCTCTTCTCCTCTCAAATTTGCCGCGGATCCAATATGCGGGATTTAGACTCTGTGACGTGGATTTCGGACCGTGCCTCCTCTCTGTGTCATCAGAAAAACCTTACCTGAGCCTTGGACAGCTTTGGCCGCGATGCGTGTTTAGAATTTGCCGCAGAAAAGCCTTCACCGCTAGGACAGACGGAAGCTCTCCGAGTACCAATCCCGTGAATCAGTCCGGGCACCGCCCCTCTGCGAAGCCAATAGCTCGGGACGGGAGCTGGAGGGGCGGGGCGAGCCCTGCAGGCGGCGTCGTGATTGGCACTCCGGTTCCCGCAGCCGGCGAGGTTGCCCCGACTTCTAGCCCTAGAACCCCGGGCGAGTGCGTATCCACAAAGTTTGTCAGCTCCGAGGCGCCGTAGTGGTTTTTACCCCGGCCGGGTGGGCCGGGCTGGGCGGCTGAAGCTCGGCTCAGTGTAGGACATCCTGATGGCTGCGGTCTTTCTGGTAACGCTTTATGAGTATTCGCCGCTTTTCTACATCGCAGTGGTCTTTACTTGCTTCATCGTGACCACCGGCCTGGTATTGGGATGGTAAGTGCCCCATGATTAGAAACAAGGGACGTAGGGGCGGACAGCTGGGGTAGTGGTGGTCGCGGAGGGCAGCGGAGGAGGGGTGCATCGGCGCCGGGGGATCCAGCGGGGCTGGGGCGCCCGGCGCTGTGGGGAAGCTGGTGTCGCGAACTCCGACTGGCTCCGGGAGCACAACGAGGTGCGGTGTGCACCTGCATCACTGCTCTGCATCGCTGTGTCGTCCCCGTCGCTGCGGGTATCTGGGGGTGGTGCGGGGTCGAGGTATTTTACCCAGCTTTGTTTCTAAGAGATAAAGCGGTCTGTCAGGGCCTGGTCTCGGTGTTGGGATAGAGTGCTTGACCAGCAGGCTTCTGTCCCGGATTGGGGCCTACGGTGTGCCCGGAGTGAATCGGTCACCTGCGGTACAGTGCACAGACGTGGACAGTAAGCACAGCTGATTGTTGTTCTCACCAGAATTGAGGACTTGGCCTCAGATCTTTGAGCCTAACTTATAACTGAACTCCGTTACCGTTTGAGAATTTAATGGTTTCTAGATACATTCCACGCCTTTTGAAGTAATATTTAGTCGGTGGAACTGTGAAGTCATAATTTTAGAGCTGGAAAAGACCTTTGAGATAAGTTACATTAACGGGTAGGGGCAGTTTACGCATTGGAGACAGGGAGAATAGACTGTTAGATAATCCTTGAGCAATTGTTCTAGCTCAGAGATTCTAAAATTTCTCTTTTGAGGAGATGCCATTGTATCATGTTTAGAGAAGCCTTATAAATACAGCTAGTTGAAACCATTTTACTAATTCATCCATTGCGGAGGGAAACATGAGCTCAATTTTGAAGAATCAGTGTTCTGAGAAATAAATGAAGTTAAGTCTGTATGGTAGAGAATAGAAGACATCTCAGGGGTACAGCATGATCAGAGAGACAGAGGAAGCGTGTTAGTGAATAGATCTGCCTGTGTAAAACGAATCTTAAAATACCTTTTGATCACATATATAGGATTACTTTACAGAAAGGAAACAAGCCCTTGTTAATTTCTGAAACTATATGCCTTCTTGAGAAACTAAGCCCAGTCTTAATATTTCCATACTGCCTCTCACCCTGCCAGCTGTTGAACACAAAATTCCTTGTTTGTGGGTGGGAGAAGACTAAAACCAGTCTTACACAATTTGTTATTCTTGACTCACCAAATTTCACTGCTATTTAATGTTCATTTCAATAAAGTTTGTAATTGGAATTTGCAACTTGGTTGCCTAAGTCAGTAAAGCAGTCTTAACACAGGATTTCTTAATGACTATAATGTCAGTGTTTTTCTCTTAAAGAAATGTGATATTCCTCCATTAAGAAAAATTGGTAACTAGTTGACCATTGCATTTTATCCTTAAATTTTAATTTTCTGGGGATGCCTGGGTGGCTCGGTGGGTTAAGCGGCTGCCTTCAGCTCAGGTCATGATCCCAGGGTCCTGGGATCGAGCCCCGCATCGGGCTCCATGCTTGGCGGGGAACCTACTTCTCTCTCTTCCTCTGCCTGCCCCTCTGCCAGCTTGTGCTGTCAAATAAATAAATAAAATCTTAAAAAAAAATAATTTTCTGTAGGCCAGATAATTAGATATCTTAGGTATAGTACTGGGAAGAGGAAAATGAGTGAGGGCCACATGGCTAATGATGTATCTGTGGGTAAGGGTAGTCAGGAACCTCATGACCTCATGTTTGTACTGGTTAAGAGACAGACTTTGGAGTCAGACAGACCTAGATGCAAATTCTGGCTCTGCCAAGTTTAGGACTTGTTTTGAAAACGTAATGACTGCCTAACCACTCCATTTGGGTATAACTTTGAAGGGTGGCAGGCCAGATAACTAGAATTTTTGGAAGTCTGGGCTAAGTATTGCTGAAACGGTGTAAGTCCCAATCACTTTCTATCTAGTTATCTTGAACCTAACTCAACCATTCCCTTTAGCTGGGTTACCTTTGTCTATATAGGTAAACTTTTTACTAGTGTTTATTTGCTAACATAAGCCAAGGCAACGGGTACATCGAATAGCAACAAAGAAAACCATGTAGATCTCATAAAAGCAACTTTCTGATAGTACCCCAGCCAGAAGGTAAACCCATGAATCCACTATGCTTTTCACCTGTGTCATGTTTTTTTAACCTCCCAAAATATAATCCCTATTGGTTTTGTGTCTTCGCCATTATCTCAGTACTGCTCTGATTTTCTTTTCCACTGCTTCTTTCTCCTGTTCTTGTCTGCTTGCACTGTGTGGGAGTGGAGAAAGAACAGGAACATCTGAATCCCAATAGCAAAGAATCGTGCCACTGAAGTATGGTATTTCTCTTTAACTCTTGGTGGTTTTGTGAGCTCTAATAGTTCACATTTATTAAGTTCTTGCTATTTGCCAGGTGCTGTGCAGAAAGGAGACCAAAAAGGCCATATATCCTTTAACAGTTTCATATAATCGGGGACCCTAACTCTGCAGCTGCCCCCTGCTTCCTCTTGACTACAGGTTATTAAGCTATTGTCCCTCAGCTTCGTAGCACCCCTTTAGATTCTGTTTTGTGAATCTGGGGAGCACCTCTAAACCACATTTCTTCTTTGCTAGCTGGCTGCCTAGCAGGCTTTGCCAGCAGGGGAGGGTGAGTGGAAGGGTAGAGGACAAAAGGGCTTGCTGCTTCCTGTGTGATTCTTTTCTTGTCTGTCTCACCACAGTGATAGTGCCTCACTCTGGCATTAACAGTTGGCCCCAGTTTTTCCAATTTGTAGTTTTCCACTCTCTTAGAACCAGCCCATCACACCTCTTCAAAGATATCAATACCCTTTCCTCAGATCTGAGTCCCAGCTCCATGGCAGTTCTTGCTCCAAATTTCTCAGCTGTAGTAATTCTCTTTATTCCTGTTTTGGAGTGATAGCTGCTTCCTACTGGTACTACTTCTATGATGCTCACTGTCCCCTTTTAGCGTTTTCAGTTCTTCAGCATATGGTTAACAATTAACCATATTAAATTCCCTCTGTTAAAATAGCTTTTGTGGTTTTGGTCTCCTGGTTGGACTTACAAAAGGTATTAATAAAGAAATTGTTACTACAATTGGAAACCCCCCGGGGGGGGGGGGGGAGAAGCTTTCAAAGATGGGCTTCAGCAATTGCTTTGGTTACATCTTTGGCTCCTTGCCAACATGATATAAGGTCCTAGTAATCCATGGCAATTATTTGCATAGTGATTCATCAGATTACTACCTTTGATTGATTGTGATAAAATGATTTCTGAAGTGTTTAATGTGGCTAAAGCACTTTTTGACTATAAGGACTGAGGGATGGATGGGATGGTTGCTTCTCAGATCACTGGAGCCCTTACAGAAAGAAAATGAGAAGCTAACGTCTTAAAACACTCAGGGCAACCCTTAGAGAATCAGAGAGGTTCTGGGTTCTAAAGCACTTTATTTCATGTAGCCACAGAACTAAACATTGAACACAGTTTTAATTGTGCTGCTAATAGAATTATACAGCTTTGTCGATGTCTCATTGAGGACACTGAGTGGAAAGAACCAGACCCCTGAGACTTGGAATGGGAACATCTGAATTGGCTTGGATAAAACTGAAAGTCTTGAAACCCTGGTCATTCTGACTCTCCTTTATAACCTTTCCTAGAGTAATTGCTTTGCAAAGGATGTCTATACTCAAGACCTATCTTTATAACCTTTTGCTGTGAGGCCCAGATCTCTTCATGTTCCAAAGGACAGGAACAAAATCCAACTTGGTTGGAAAGAGCTTAGCCTCTAAAAGATGTGCAAAATTTTGCTAATTTGTGCCATTGCGAACAATTGATTGTAAATAGATTAGGCCAGGAAGGATAGAATGTAACAGTAAATCAGATAAAGTGAATTTATTTATTTTCTTTTCTTTCTTTATTTTTCAGTAGGCTCCACTTCAGTGTGGGGCCCAAGGCAGGACTTGAACTTAGGACCCTGAGATCAAGACCTGAGCTGGGACCAAGAGTTAGATGCTTAACCAACTGAGCAAGCTGGGTGCTGGAGATAAAATTTATTGATCTGGGTGTCTTCTCAAGAAATTCTGAATCTAGCCCCGCATCGGGCTCTCTGCTCAGCGAGGAGCCTGCTTCCTCCTCTCTCTCTGCCTACTTGTAATCTCTGTCTGTCAAATAAATAAATAAATTAAAAAAAAAAAAAGAAATTCTGAATCTAAGGTATTAACTCAGATGTGGTTGACTGAAACTTGGACTCAGTGGTGGCCTATATGTAATAAGGTTAAGGTGTTAGAACTTTCCTAGCATAACGAGGAAAGAATCTAACGATTTAGAAAGATAAGAATATTGGACTGGATTTATTATGTGCAACCTGCACACCCATCCCCCTACTGCATCCTTTAAGACTTCACAGAAGACACATTTTTCATGAGGGCACTGAGAAATAAATTGCCGAGAGGAGACTTGTATCCTTGAAAATCTCTGTTCTCTCTAGGCTGTTTGTGATGGTGGGAGCTCCTGACCTGAGGTCCAGTGGCACCTCACCGGAGTCGAGGTGGACATATGTTCCATAATGGGCAGTGGAGGACAAAGCAGAGAATGTTTTGGCTCACAAGGATTTTTGGCGGTGGCTAATGGATTAGAGTGTCTCTAGGAATAAAATAGATGGGCAGCCTACTAAATGCTACATGAACTACATAGAAGGAGAAACTCCATGTCTGGAGCCAGAAACCTGACTTGAGTGGTCACAACGGCGAGTTACCACCTTTCACCCAGTTTATAGATATAAGCCAATCCATAGACCTGGAATGTCTGATTAAGGGGAGGTTGGGTCCCCTAGAGAAAGGACCCTGTACCCTTCTGTGCTGCCACAGGACATACTCTAAATCGTCCTCCAGATCTTTCTCAAAAGCTGTTGTCTCTCAGAAGCAAACATGCTCTTCTGTACTCTGCGTGGTAATACTGGGACGGGGACTTTGTATGTTCCTCTTATCGTTTGCTCCCTATTAGAATCTGCCAGTAGACGAT